AAATAAAGGGACAGGGAGCCTGTCACGTATGGAATATCCGGGCGTTATCGTGGTGACATGGACGTATCTAAAGAGCGATCGAGAACATTCTCGATCATTCTACAACTGTCCCCAATCCTCCCGCCTTTTAAAGGACACCTTCAAAATGAACAAAAATAAAGATTAATGAAATGTACTAGGTACTTGTACCTTTCACAAAAATATGAATACATACAAAATTGTCTTAAAAAATTGTTTTCATAAAATATAATGTTAGTCGAAATACGAACCTTTTATTCAGGACATAGGCAACTTCACTAATTTCACCACTGGACGCTTGAAAGTTCCTGCTGTCTTCAAGGTCATAATGTGCAAAATGTCTTCTGAACCTAGATGGACAACAATCACCCCTCCTAATTGCATAACATGAGGCCGTCCCGGAGACTTGACGAGTACCGAGTCAACGACTTTCAAATTCGTATTTAGGCTTGAGAACTTTTGGCGTCCTCGCAATGTCTAAAGATACTCATTTTCTCATCGTTTCTAGAAACTTTGTTGTGCTTGTTTGATCATCTGCCATCTAGTTAGATAGTTGATTTTAACGTTCATCAAGTTTGGCTTTGGAATTTCCATATGTCCTATTAAAAAGATTGTCCTATTAGAAAGTGTCCCGGTGTTAAGATTTCAATTTCCAAGTAGCACCCACATAATTTGTTCCACAATCAAAACGTATTTCAACAAGCATTCTACAACGATCAGTGAAGCAATCGAAGGCGGTAAGAAACGCTTCCGTAGATAGGTCGCTTACCACATCCAGATGGATTGCCTTTACTGATAGATACACAAATAGATCAAGATGAGCCTTATTTGTGTTTTTTCAGATAAAATAAATTTTTTTTTGAGGTTCAAGTTACTAAGATGATATTAGGTTTATTACAACGTATTCTATAGTATGACTGTATGAACAATATTATTATAATAGATTTATTTATTTAGTGGTGGCTAGTAAACATATGTTTAAGAATCAATTTAACATAGAATCTTTGAAGTGTTTACCTACACAATTATCCTGTTTCTGTTATGCGAACAAACTGTGCCAAGTTTTTTCAATCAGAACCCATTAAAAAAATATTAAGAATAATGATAATATGAAGAAATGTATTTAAATGTCACACATTAAAAAAATATCAATTCCACAATCACATTTTTAATAGTTTTTTTTACATAATTTTGAAGTTATTATAAAACATAATATTTGATAAATATTATATTTTTACTTTTTGAATGAAGAACAAATAAATAATTAGCTATAAATTATAATAACATTTAGAGTTTAAGTGAATGGATTAAGTGAGATGAATGTGAATGTGACTAATTTCCAGTATCAAACATAGTTATTGATGGATGGGCAGGATGTACTTTTAATATTGCCCTAAACTAGATAAAAAATGTAATGATTTAAATAAAAATATATATAAAAAAAGGTGGGCAAGTGGGTGTCGCTCTGCTATACAGTAGGTTACAAGTGGATCACTGTATAAGGATGGTATTACATTTGAATTCAATGATATTATATCATTGTATAAGAAAAATGATTCTGAGCGGAGACGGTATGTCCTTCTAGGTATAAGACATATTATATACTTATCTATGGTATTAAAAAAAATTGACCTATAATGAATTCCAAATTAATCATATCACAATATCCATTAGGTACTTAATATAACGCGTTATGCACCAACAACAAACCCTGATACTATCATAGATATATAGTAGTATACTTTAGAAGTTTCAAGTACCCACGAATAATATTATACACTCACAACAAAATAACTAAAATAGTTATTCTAGGTTTTTATTATGTAATTTCGAAAAATTTGAATTTAAAATGTCTTTAAAAAATAACTGTGTTCATATATTTTTTAAATTTTTTGGTTACAGTATGAACTATTTATGAGAACCTTTGTTTTAAATTTGCAAATTATTAATTACAATGATCAGGAACATTGCATTAAATTTTCACGCTTTTTTACCCAACAAATAAAACTTTATTGATATTTATAGAAAAAAAAACTAAAAAAAATTGAAAGCTATAAATGTCCTTAAACAGCTCAAAAAGAGTCAAAATATTTTCAAAATTGTATAGTGTATAGGAAATGCTAATATAAACATTCAGTGAAATTTTCATGTATCTACAGTTATTCGTTTTTGAATTTTTTACGAACTCTGAACTCAAAACTTTATGAATTTCTAACTAGAAATAATTTGCAAATTTTCGTCATTTTCACGTATTTTGTTAATATTTGAAATTTAAATGCTTATAACAAAAAACTGTGACTGAATTTTTAATATTTTTCATTTGTCTTTGAAAAAAATATATTAGGAGTCTTCTATGAAATGTTCAAGATTTTTTACCCGAAAAATACAAACCCTCAAGCCATAAGTACTACGTTAAAATAACATAAACACCGCATATATGCCTATTGTAAATAACCTTAGAGATTGTATATTTTCTAAATAAATGTTAAAAAAAAAACACTCATAAAAATTTAATTTGACTTTCTTATACACATTTTTTTTTGATAAAGATAGATAATCTTATAAGGAATCTTGTATTACATTTTCAAATCTTAGATTTAAAAAGAAAAATTTTTACGATTTCTTAACTCAAAATAATTTGCTAATTTTCGTGATTTTTCCATATTTTGTCAATTTTTGAACTTTAAATGCTTATAAAAAATAATTGTAACTAAGGATTTTTAATATTTTTCATCTGCCTTTGAAACAATATACTATTAGCCTTCTATTAAATTTTCATGCTTTCACAACCAACAAATAAAATTTAATTGATATTTTTAGAAAAAAAACTAAAAAAAATGGAAAATGAAAATGTCCCTAAATAGTTCAAAATAAATCAAAATATTTTGAAAATGTTATCGTGTATAGAAAATGCAAATATAAACAACTAGTGAAAATTTCATTTCATGTGTATACGTTCATTTGTTTTAGAGTTACACCAAAAACCAAAATCGATTTTCTCGAAAACAGATTTTGCGTAAAAATTCCCGTATTCCTTAATTTTTCTTTTGTTTTTCACGGCGATTTTGAAAACTACTGGGAAATAAGTATAGGTTAGTTTGGGGGTTAACGGTCTATTATAGAAATATTGGAAAGAACATTTAAGATGTTTAGTATTTAAATTTATCTCAAGGATACTGTTGTAAACAATCATAATTTAATATTTGTCAACATATTTTAAAAATAATTAAATTATTATAATAATATTAGGATTAAAGAACGAATTTCTAACCATTCATTTAGGGCCAGTTTGTACCAGAATCATTTAAACTAATTTTAAACTAGACTTTTTTTCAATTCACTTTAAAAATTGTTTTACAAGACTACACTTAAACCTACTTTAAAAACAAGTTTAGTTAAGCCACCGATCTTGATGGCTTGAGCTATGTTTAGCAGTATTTTTTGGCATAGATCCATGCATTTTGACAGTCATATGTTACTGATAATTTGTGTTAAAGTAATTACTTGTGAGCGAAGAATCATTTATTATTTTAAAAATGAATATCAATATCTTCGAAGATGAGAATTTCGCCTATCAAAACTAGCTGTATTGCACGTACCTGATCTGATTCAACCAGAAATCGAGCATCCAACAGACAGGTAGTTCAATTTATTACAACGAACAACTCCCCACTAGTTACGCCTCTGAATAACTAATTAAATAGTAATAATAAAAAGGTTTCAATCCGTCTATGTCACATGTGGTATTTGGCGTTGAAGTCGCCGACCGTGATCAACCAGTTATTATTATGATATTTTAATACAGGTCATTTAGCTCTAATGCAGAGTTTGGGGGTTTGTTATATTCAATGAGCTACTGATGATTTTACCTCACCCATTTTAGCTTCCTTGAATTTGTATAGCTTATATGATTGGGCCGCTGAATGCGATAGAAAAATCGCCTGATTCGTAAACCTGCTTGGAGGTCATTGGATTTTTGAGTTGATAAATGGTATTATACAAATTCGGCCTATAAAAATTCAGATTCTAATATATAAAAAACAATTATAAATTTTATAATCAAAAAAATTATAAAAAACTTTATAATTTTATAATTTTGTATTACATTTTAATTAATGCTCAAATTTTTTTACATGTTAGAATCTGAATTTTAATTCAGACCTCCCCTATCCATGGCCGTACTTGAGGAATTAGTATGTTGAATGGGTGAGTTCCAAATTCATCTCTAAGCCCTCTGGGTGTCGTATTTCGTGGGTTCTATGCAGTGTATATGGTGACGGCTATTCCGTTACAAATTATACTGCTCTACATTAATGTTTGGTGCAGTACCACCATAAAAAATTTTATTTTTAAGTTCACCCTATCCATTATTTTTGAAAAAACAAGATTGCGACTTAAATTAAAAATTTGAAAATACTAGGTATAGCATAATGAGTACATAATATTATAAACTAGTGCCATTGAAATACTTAGGTAATGTATTACTAATCAAATGTTTGAAACTCAACAAGCTAAGTTAAATTAATTAATTAAAAAGAGTATTTTTTATATAATAATTGGACATTTTAACAACAATTCAGACGATCATATTATCATTTATTATTTATTCAAGTTGACATTTATAATGTTAAAATTTCATAAGTTAATGAACATGAAAAAAAATTGAAATATTTTATCTAAAATGTAGATTATCGTATTATATAATATAATATTATTATCTATGTATTATTTACTCACGTGCAATTTTATACTGTTATGTGCAATTTATTTTTTTAATAAATGTACCTACACCACAGATGTTCTTTTTTTTTTAATTTGTTACATTATTGGGTAAACAATTAATATATAATAAATAATAAAGAAAAATGAATAGGTACTTGATTTATAAATGTTATTACAATAAAATATTATTTCGCAAAAGTAATTGGTTGCTATCACTTCAAGTAGAAACAATATCCCAGATATTTCAAGTAATAGTTAAAATGAAAATTATATTAGTGCTTATTTTGAGTATATTTCTTTACCCTTCATTGACAACACAAGGTAATTAAATCATTATTTTTAATTTATCATTGTTTATAAAATTATTACATAAATTATAAGGATAATATATGCCGAGCGTGGCAATAAATGAACTGATTTTACAATGATGTGTGTTTTTTTTTTGTGTCAGATTAATTAACTTTTTGATTTTGAAGCAGTGCAAATGATTCGATCTTTGACCTCAATATATTTTATAATAAGAAATTGAATCTATTTAAAATTTAAGAGGGGGTCAAAAGTAAAAAAATCCCAGTAGGTACTTGATTTAAATAAACAAAATTTTTTTATTAATATGAAGTTTATATTGGACGAAATTAGACATTTAAACGAAGAATAATTGTTTTAGTAATTTTTTTGTAATTTCGAAATACAATTCGTGGGAACTTGAAACTTTTACATAATATATTATTATATTTTACTTCGTACCTACGTAAGGCTTATAAAGTTAAAAATAATAGTTGAAAAATTAATTTGCTTTTAACTAAGTTACATAACGAGTTACTTTTTTTAGAAGTAGGTAATTTCTAACTTATGAGTTAATCAATTTTATTTTCACGTTAAGTTATTTTTTTCCTAAAACCACTAAAATTTTATTTTATTTTGTAACAAAATAAAATAAGAATAGGAAGTATCATATATTATTTATTATATAAAAGTAATATAATAAGTAATAAATTATAATTTGTAATAATGGTTATATTATTGCATATTCAGATAATATATTATATATAACAGAAATATTAAAGGAGTAAAAATTGAGAAAAGTAAAATTTAACTATTCACTCAGTATCCCATGCCCGTTAGTATAGGTAGTTAAGATTAATAATTATAAATTATTACTATATTTTTATTCATACATAGAATTACAACTGAATTTGATAATATTTGATATTATTCATAATCTAACAGTGAATTTTGTAACTATATTTAGTATAGTAGTTATGGGCCATTAAGTAAACATACACATAAAAGTATTAAATAATTTATAATTTTGTTAGATTTTTTCATTGATTAAAGTATTAAAGTACTTACCACAATGTATTTAAAATTATAAGACCTCTATAATTACTATGATATTTGTTAGCTTTAAAAAAAGGTATTCGCTATTTTCACCATATTATTTTTTTGTATTGACTAAATATGTGCATATGTTTCTAAGGTACCACGGACGTCAAAAATCAGGTAATTTGCAATATAGCTGGAAGTGTCTGGACGAGTACATATGTTTTCGATATAAAACAACTGCCAGAACGTTGTGATATAGTTACAATAGGTCAATATGCTTTTGACCGTGATGATGGTACTAATACCCATGTCACGGAATCAGATAAAAGTAATTATATACAACTTATATACACAAACATGTAGCGACAATCACGCTTATTTCTTATATTTGGTGTTTGTTATATGGGAATATACGAAGTCCCACTTGTTATACAAATGGGGTAACCTATTCAAAATTTAGATGCTGTTCATAAAAAAAAAGTTATCTTTGAAAATATTTCGTTAGGCCATTTTTTAGTTAAAAGACATTAAGGGAAAACAGAATACCGATCTGAAATATTTGAGCATATATAAATATCAAATATTGACTTACAGATTATAGATTAGGGGATAGTGCACAACAAATGTTATGGTGAACCTCTTGTAATTTATTTCATGATGACTGCAGTATTAACGATTAAAAGAAAGAATTAATTATTTAATTTGTATTTGCCAATATCTATCAACAATTTATAGAAGTTTTCAAAAAATCACAAAGGCAAAAAAAAAATTTTAAAACCACATTTATCAAAATAAAAATTTCAATACAACTAATAAATGGTATATCATGGCTGTGAGACTATTAGTTAGCTATAATAATAATACTATTAATAATTGAATAAAAACATGAAAATGATAGTGATTCAATAACGAAATATGTGTTATTATTGTAAAAATAAAAAACGCTATTTATTTTTATAAATATTATACAATTATAAATGTTTAATTTTACATAATACCATATTCACAATATATTATAATTTTTCCTAATATCAATAGTGAGTTAACTAATAATATTGATTAGGAATAGACATAAGTATTAGTTAACTCATTAAAAAAAAAATACTAAACACCGAATGTTATTATATTAAAATTTTAATGATTAAAGGTGCAATAAAAATCTTGATAGAAGCTAATAAACCTGTTTACTTACGCATTGGCTTCGTATATAAAGATGATTGGAGTTTAGTATTTGATCCTGCGGATGCAGATGTATTTCAGAAGACAATGTTTGATCCATTAATCAATTTTTTAACTACAACTAAAGTTAATGGTCTTCTTATTAACTGTGTAGACTTATACGAGTATGTGAGTAAAATAGGATATTAAAATTTTATATTAAATCGTATATTTAAGTTCGAATATTAGAATAATGCTATATGATTTTTTGTTTTTTTTTATTTCGAATCATTTTTTAGAGTAGTAAAAATGCTTAGATTTTCTACACTAACGGGAATTTTTTGAAAAAAATTAGTTGGTAAAAAGTAAAAAAATCCCTGTACTTATTTATTATCGTCGAAAACAACAACAAAAAATGTGCTCCAGTGGGTACCACTCTGCCGTACATTAGATATTGTGAGGATCACTGTAATGGATGTGTTAAATTTGAATTCAATGATATTTTATCATATTATATACCAACAACGATTCTGAGAGAAGACAGCCTGTCTATATATAACTAAATATATTATATGATATATATATATTTCTATTTAAGTAATAGTAATAGTAGTAATACCACTAATTAGAAATAATTTATAAGAATAATTTATGATCAACAAAGTAATACATTAGGTTGAAATAATTTGAAAAAAAAAATGTTTTTTTTTTTTTTGTGAACCTCTAACACAATAAGTAGTTGAAATAAAGTTTTTATAATAGCATTTAAAAAATATTAAAGATACATAGGCACGATATTTTATTTAAAGTTTGAATTTTGACAAAATTCATCAATACTACGAAATTTGCAAATCATTTTGTTGTTAAAAATATATTGAATGTTAATCAATTAAATATACTTATTTTAGGTTGCTATAGATAATTTGGAACAAAAAATTAGTAACTTTGTGTGTGCAATTAAAGCAAAAATAGATAAATTAATAGTTGGTGTATTCATATCTGGTGTGTACTATGAAAGTTTTCCAGATAATACTAGTAAGAAAAAAAATATTATTGTTCTTAATTTAGAAAATTTGGAGATTATTTCTTTAAATTCCAATTATGTTCTTCAAGTTTTTGATTTTTCAATAACAAATGCAGTATTGGATCTTTATATCATTGATTGGTCAGTATTAAACGATTGTGAAGATAAAAAAAATAAAACTGATATGACTCCAATATCATCCACTACTCCAAATACGACGACTGTAGTACGTACATATTTTAAAAAAATAACATTTTATGCAAATTTAAAAAGAAAATATTATTTTCAGGAACAAGTCACTTGTGCTGTGACTAATTCACGTATGGATAAATCGAAAATATATGCTATGGTACAAATGCTTCCAGTACTTCCACAAAGTCTTCTTCTCGAAGGCGAAAAGCGTATTACAACGTATTCTATAGTATGATAAGTATTATTATTATAGCTATTGATTTAATGGTGGCTAGTAAATGTACGTTTATGAATAAAATTAACATAGGAAATTTAAAGAGGAATAGTAAGTTCCTACCCGAGAGTAGCAGGTAAACAATTACATACGTTAGTTCTTACACTTACATTTGTAAGTTCCTACACGGTAAAAACCAGGTACGTATGTTAGTTCCTACACGACGGAAAAAGATACATATGTTAGTTCCTACAAGGTAAAAACCAGGTAAGTATGTTAGCTCCTACACGGCGGAAAAGGTTATATATGTGTATATGAATTAAAAATAATAAATAAATGATAATTAAAAAATATAATAAAAATCGCATAATGCAAAATTTTATATTTTATAAGGTTTATTTCTATAACTTAAAAATTTAACATAATCGTATTGATTAATTTTCTATTTCTTTTTATTATCTGAAATGTTTTCATTTATGCCACGGTACCAACAGGCGTATCGTTTTTATAATAATCGGACCAGTCGCAGCTTACTAATATACATTCAAATATACTTCGTTTTAAAGCAAAACGTATATGAAATTAAGGGAAAATACGACAAGCTATAAGCTGATAATAGTACTCCGACTCGACGTAGGGCGAAAGATAAAACATCTTATTATCTATATTTTTTGATATACACAATATTTACGACTTTTCATTACCTAGGTACGGAGGTAGGAACTTACATATGTACCTCTTTCTATCGTGTAGGAACTAATAAATGTATTTTGTGTACCTGCTACTCTGGTGTAGGAACTTACATTCGCCCAATTGAAATGTTTACACGATAAACTTTTTCAGATTTTTTTTTATTATTATTTTAAGACATCATTTCATAGTTATTAGCTGCTTTTTACTGTAGGTGGGAGGATATCATTGGTTCGGAACAGGTCATGTACATGAGGCAAGGATTCGTTATTAAGAAATCCGGGTGGTCACCCATCGAGGAGCCAGTGACACCACCCAATACTTTACCTCAGAACATTTTACTGTGTAACGGTCAAACACCCTGCCACACCAGGCCCCAATATAGTTTCTGTTATGCGAACAAACTGTGCCAATTTTTTCAATTAAATCACATAATTAAACCACTTATTCTGCCCCCTTTAAGAAAAATGATAATACGGAAAACTATATAAAAGCTACACATTAAAAAATAACAATTTCACATTCACTTCTTTAAAAGGTTATTTTATACAATTTTAAATTTATTATAAAACATAATTTTTGATAAAAATTATATTTTTACTTTTTGATTGAAGAACAAAAAGATAATTACTTATTTAAAGTTTTGGGCATTTAAAGTTTAGATGAATGGATAAGTGCATGGGTTAAAAATATATAATTGTTTTTAGATTTTAGATTTTTGTGATTTTCTTATAAAAATCATTATTTCGTTTTCATTACAGTTTTGTGAAATGACTCAAGCTGATTCATCTGAATGGTGCAGTAGCCCTTCAAAAATGTCATATGATCAAGTAAATATATTAAATACTTATTGCACGCACAAAATCCTCGTAGGTTGGTAATATGACGGAATGTTATGGTAGTCGTAAATAAAGTAGGGAATACACATAGATTACGGAAAAATAATAGGAGAATAAAAATAGGAAGAGTAAAGAGAAAAACAAGGTGTGATAGTTTTGAAGAAAATAAAACCTTTAAAAACAAGATATAATTTTGGGTCGGGGATAAACTTATATATTAAAGCTTACATTAACAAATTAAAGTAAAAAATGCAATGATGCAGCTGAAAAATTCTTGGAATATGAGCTCTGGTTGGGAACACGCAAGGGTTGGTGTTATAGGACTGGTTTTTATTGCTGGGTCAGACGAGAATACACATGAGTAAAACTGTGTTATTGTTGTTGTTGTTGTTACTTGTTGTATTGTAGTATTGTATGTAATATCGGAAGTGTTATACAGAGTGGCAGCATTGATACACGTACTTCCACACACACACACACACACACACATAAGGTGGTGTGTTGAGTACTCAAAAAACTACGGCGTTAATATGAAATAATGATTTAATAGTATTGAGGCAATTATATAAATCTGACATAAGAAAAGGATCAAATCAACTGTTGTTGTTAGGCAGAAACAAGTAAAATGAAAATCAGATCGCGTGAAGAATACATCCTTTCCTGGTATTTATGATTATTCTTCCATTCTGTTGGTAGCCGGTCGGGAGATTCAATGATAAGATCATCAACCACAACATATTTACTACTTCATGCGGTGTTGCAATTCATTGAAATATTTTCTGCTTCAACATTACCCAAAATATAACTGACATTGGCAAAGAAATTTGCATCGATTATGGTAATTAGTAGCCGTATATGATATGAGATCACTTATTAGAAAATTACCTGAATTGGTTGGCAGAGATTATGTTGGTGTGATTATAACGAAGTCAACGTCTGGGGTTTACTATTTCTTCTATCCATGGGACCAAGGAATGAAACTCTTCCAAGGTATCGATGTGGATTCCTATTACGTACTTAAGTTAACGTTTTAGCTCTTTGAATAGCTGCTTCCCAAATGTGTATCAACTATCAGTGAGATACCTAATTAAAATGCCAAAAGCACTCTGAATACTCTTTATAATACTTGATGCTTAGGGTCTTCACTCCATAATCAATATTGGAGACGACCGCTGAATCATAGGACTCAGTAAACATTAATGAACTATATGAGAGTTAATCAAATTATGGAAGTGTGAAGTGTCACAGTGGAAACTGGGTTATTTCAGTTGTGCAGTGGTATACTTTTGAGAAGTATATATGTTACGTTATTTTAAGAGCAACAAAAAGAATAGTACCCAACTCCCTTTTTGCGAGAGTGCCGGTTTAAGGCAGTTGTTCCTTATGTTAACCTCTCCCGGGGAAAGAACGTCAAAAATCAAGCCATGACGCTATTTTAATCCAGTTAACGAATGTTTACACTTGGCACGATGACACAAAATGATTGTAGTAAGCCAATGACCGAAACATCACGTTCAAAGCTTAAAACCTATGTAAAATTTCTTCTGGGACCGGAGATTTATCAAATAAATATCATATTTAGCAGATCTCACTTCCAATAAATTAATTAATTGGTTTTTTAACAACGTCGGTATTCCCATTTATAATTACTTCTTTTCAAACATTTTAATATTAAAATATTGTTTTTCTAGAATACGAATTAATTTCTAAATTAGTTTTGGCATTTTATCTACCTCCCTACATAGTTAAGAGATAGTGGTTGGCTATTGTTATACATTTAATTTAATAATTATTTTGTTGTTTATTGTAGGGAGCTTACGCAAAAAAATTCTATGTTGGAATTGTCTTACAACAGCTTGATACAGATGATTACGAGAGTAAATGTAAATGTGGCCCATTTCCAGTATCAAACTTAATTATTGATGGATGGGCAGGATGTTCTTTTAATGATTGTCCAAAACTAGATCGAAATTAACTGAATTAAATGAAAATAAATAAAAAAAAAATTATGTTTTACTCTATCTAGTAATAACAGGTATTCATCAGTATTCTTACTAAATTATCATAAATATACGTGTTTAATTCATTAAAAATAATAATAATAAATCCAACTAAAATTATTATTATTTACTTTTTTTTCCAAATATTATAATTTTTTTATTAAGAAAAATTTAAGGTCCATATAATATAATAGTATAATGCTTTGTAGTATGCAAATAGACAGATACAATTTAAATGATATAATATATGGGTTAGTTTGGGGGGTTAATGAACTATTATAAAAATCTACGGAAGGACATTTTATGTGTTTAGTATTTAGATTTATCTTATGTATACTGTTGTAGTGTTGTAAGCAAATGTAATAAATTGTCAACATATTATGAAAAAATAAAATAATTATTATATTATTAAGATTAAAGAATTTACAACCATTAATTTAGTCATGTTATTTTTACTTTAACAACTTAGCCCATTTCCTGCTAATTTAGCTAATATATTATTTTACATTGATAATTACCTTTCTACGTCTACTGCAACTATCAATGCATTTTTTATATAGACGTCACTTTACTCTAAATTGTTTCCAACACAATAGCTATTTCTGGTTATAATATAGTAAAATAATAAAATAAAATTACAGCATTTAAGTATATAAACCTAACCTAACGGATTCGTACTGGTACTACCAAACGAGCAAAAGAAAAGGAAAGCAGAAAACCATGCGGTTTTAGGTGGCTGCAAAAGCGCGGCTCGATTGCTGATAGATACGTGAGTGAGGTATGGCCGTTAAAATGAGAGAGCCACATCTCGACCTGGTGAGGACTGGAACGAGCAAATTTTCCGAAGTGTCTCCGAAGATTTTCGTAGTACACAACTGGTCTTAACGTTATGCCCAGTCTATGAGTATAAGGTCTATGATGAAAAGCCAAAATCAAAATAGTTGATATTTTACCAAATAGATAGCGTACATGTTGGTATTATTTACCAATCTTGCTTGGAGTGGAAGGGTAGAAGGTACCGACAGGTACCAGGTGCACCCACTCTCTGGCACCCCCAGTTCTGAATTTTGGACTCAAACCAAGGGCTTTCCTTATTGTGCTACGTCTGTGGACACAAATATTTCCCTTCGCCACTTTTTCAAGACTTATGACAATAGCTAATAAAAAATTGGTAGGTGGGGTTAAAAATATTTGTGTCTTTCAAAAAAGCAATCGTTATTTTTAAAATGTTGTTGAATTATAGATTGTTTTAATTTTGTGGAAAAAATTGTTTATAAAATATTTATAGATTATCGTCATTATTAATTATTGTCATAGTTTTTAAAACAGCCTGTATATATGATATTCTACTGATTTCACCACTTGAATATTGTAACATTATCCGCAATTAATATCTTATATTTGTGTCCGCAATTCGTATGTTACCTTTTTAGATTTCGTCCGCAACTCACATGGTTTTTGTCACTTTGTCCGCAATTCGGAAACACGCTAATCGCCATAGATTATTCTTTTTGTGAGCGCAAATCGCTAAATATTATTGTTTTTTATATCAGCGTTTATACTCTTATTATTGTTACATGTGCCCTAATCACCACTGATACTATTTTATATTATTGTCAGTTCGCGCTGATCTCCGAAAGCCTTTATTATTTGTATTATTACTATAGTATAGGTACAGGACCAGCCGGCCAGACTGCGCTCCACAACCCTGTGAGTTTTAAAATTATTAATATCATTATTATTAATAATTATTACTGTTATTATCATTGTTAAATCAATAGGCTGAGCAAGCCCATGCTTGTAATTATTTTTTATCATATTTGTTGAGCCAAAGGGCCTACATTTGTATACAATTATTTGTCGTGCCGGAAGGGTACCATTATTATTATGTTTATACTTTTTTGATATTTATTATATGTCTTTTAGTGCATTACACAATTTATTTACCATTATTTGAGTTACCTATCTATCCTAGTCATAAGTACACACTACACACCCACCGTACACTAGTACTCGGAGTTTTGATCGGTGAACCCGTCCACTTCTCCTGAGTCGCTATACCTAATATACACACAGACACAGATACTCAGGTCGGTCGGTGTGTGAGTGCTGTGCAGAAGTATACGCTGACCTTGCGCATGGTCTATTATTGTACCGTACCTGCGCGAACAAGCCCTTTAGTAATTTCTTATACTTTTTTTTAAATTTAAAAGCGTTTTTACCTATTATTTATTACCACAAACTCTAGGCAATGTACTGGTTTTAGAATTTCTAGACTCTAGAGTCTAGAGCAGCCCTTGTATGAATGGCTAATAACTTTTTTACAAGATATAACCATGAGACACATCATTTCAGCAGTGTATTTTAACTATACATTCCTCCTTACATATTATAATTTTTAAAGAATTGGCTTAAAGTTAATTGTTTATGTTTATTTAAAACATTGTTCTCAAATTTATTTTCTAAAATACCTAGTGATTTAAATAAATCTTCCATACCTTCATTGCCTTCAATATATTTACATTTTACGTAATGTTTCTAATGCAAGTGTCGCTTCTTTATTTGTAATGGTGGATTGTATTTGTTGGTCTTCAATTTCTTCTTCGTTATATTCGTCCAATATATCGGAGATAATATAGTTCTCAGTCCATTCTCCACAAATCTCCAAATTTTCATCGACATTCACGGTTTTCAAGATTTAAATTTCCAATATGTATGTAGTTGACTATAATGGTCGAGTTTTACGAAAAATAATCGCCTTGATAAACTATTTTTAGTACTAAAGTTGGATAAGAAAATTCGAGATATCGAAAACTTGTCAAATTCATTTTCGAGTTTATTAACAAGATTATTCAAACATTAAGTGTTATTGTTATTTGAAGGGGAATTTTAATTATTCGAGATATCAAAAATTTGGAGTTACCCAGAGTCAACTGCAGTATTTATATAATAAAATATAATAATATATATAAAAGTTATAATATGTATACGCAATGACATTTTCAAAATATTTCGATTGATTTTAATCTATTTCCTACCACGCAGGACATATATATTTCTATACTAATATATAAAATAATCATGTTCGTTTGTATGTTCGGGGTTAACTCCGAAACTACTTATTGGATCGTCTTGCATTTTTTTTAAATTTAAGAGGACATCACAGAGAAGGTTATAGGCTAATTTAAAAAGGGAATTGATCACCCCTGGTAGGTGCTAAAACAGGAATTTTTTTGATTTACGATAGAAATGTTTGTTTATTTATGGTTGCTATGGGTTATAGGAGTTGAGAATAATATTTATTTATTATTATTTTTTAGATTCTGAGGAAGCTATTGGTTTTTCTGGGGTTCTACAATGGTGTTTATTATTTTTTTTTTATTTTTTTTATATCCTGTATACAAAATTTCTACCAGAAGGATAGTGCTTCGATTTCAACATATAGTACCTTATCTTTTAGCAAATTGGATCCAGACGGTACCTACTTTAGAGAGGTCATTTTTGGATGTTATCAATAGTTATTTAATGCCACTGGATAAACTACCGAAAAATTACGAAAAACCGCTAATAATAGGGTTTTAATTTCTAACGATTTGTTTATCACCATGGAAACGAATAAAAATCATAATATTAATTCAACTTACATGATATAATAAATAATAACATAAAATATCCAGACTGACGAACCGTCTCCGCTCAGAATCGTTTTTCTTATACAATTATATTATATCATTGAATTCAAGTTTAATATAATCCGTTTACAATGACCCACTTGTACCTACTGTACAGCAGAGCGACATCCACTTACCCGCTTTTTTTTAGTTTGAATATTAATGGAGCGTCTCAATCTCATTCGTTTCAATCAATCGAAGTTACGATCAGGCGAGTACATCCACTTGCGTAACGCCATCGCTACTGAAGGAGACCTGGCCAACATTGGTCGTTTGACCATTTTCTCAGCCCATTCTTCTTTTTATATATACATAAAAATGAATGTCCGTGTGTAGATTAGACCTCTGGGTAGAAGATAATCTAATTTAAAAAGGATTAAGTTTGTTTTTTTTTTTTATTCATCAGATTTTAGTACGTTAGTCTTAGGATTTTGTATTAATTGATTATATTAATCCGCCGTAGGTGGAATTAAGTAAAAACGATGAACTTGGTATAACTTTGGTCTTTGATACTCTAGAGTTAAATCATACATTTACGTACAAACAGCACGGGGTCGGCAATCTACAGCAGGTAGATTGCTCACCTGCTAATATACTGTTGTGAATCAGAATTTTTATCGGTAAAGCACGATTGAGCATAGAACGATTGAACATATACCTTTTTAGCAACACGATTGAGCATAGAATATTTTATGCGATGTTGCCACATTTACATGGCAAAAATTTGTAATTTATTATTTTCACATACCTATTATTGCACCAATAATTGTTATGATACCAGACGCGAGTCGTGAGCTGAGCCCAGCTTTATCGACAATGTTATCGGTTAATAAATTAGTTCTGGAGCAATAAAGTTCCGAAGTTTTAAAAATTTCAAATTAAAGGAAAACACAAGATTATAAATTAAAATACAATTCCAAAATTATCATTTAAATAATATCAGTGTTCGATCACCCATACTCTATAGTCTATAGTATTCTTGACTTATAAAGTTATGAACGATGCAGTATTTTTTTTAATTCGTACCATATTTTGATTTTATTATTTTCTTAATTATTATTATTATTATTATTATTATTATTATAATTATTATTATTATTATCATCATTATCATTATCATTATTGTTATGTAATTTTTTTGATGTATTATATTTTGAATTATAATAGTTATTTAAATAAATCGTTTTGTATAAGAAAGTTTAAAATGGAAAATGGCAACGTTGCAGAGTTTTTTATGCTCAATCGTTTAGGTTTTCTTTTGTATTCTGATTTCCTTTGATACGCCGACAATTTGGCTCAATCGT